GTTTTAAAAGAAATTATACGAGATTACAAACATTTCCGTTAAATGAGTTTAATGTTATTTTTTAGAAATAATAAAAGTAAATTTTAGATTTATAAATTTTATATTATAGTGGAAAAATTTTGTTAGAAAAAAATAACGGAGAACTTGTTGATTAACGAATAAATAAAATATAGTTATTTTATTATAATTACGTCGAGATATATTCCATATGTTATAACCAATCTTTCTAAGGGTTGACACAGATAGAATGTTACCTTATGAATTTATGTGCGATTTGAACTGTCAAAATCATGTAATGATAAAATACATTATTTTATTACTATATATATGATATGCAATTTGTTCGAAAAATGAGTTGTGAATTTTATGAGAGTTAAATTCTATTGATTAATAAAAATGTATTCTATTGATTGATAAAAAATGTATTCTATTGATTGATAAAAAATGCATTCTATTGAATAGAAAATTTAAATAGCCAATTTCACAAATCCAAGATCTATAAAATTGTTAAAGTTGCAAATTCTAAAGAACTAATCTTACCTTATTGCTAATAATTGATAATTTACATTTTAGTAAAATACATTTGATATTCTTACTTTAAGTGTATTATCCTTTATTTTATTTAATTAATGAAATCATAATCAAATTTCATCAATATCGATTTATCAATAATTGTATGCCATCATCATAGATGACATAAAAATATTACTTCATAATTATTCATGAATTTTATTTGACATTATATATTTTTATACAAAACTTTATATCACACCAGCGTGATTTAACAATGTCATTTTTTGTATTTTATTTATTATATCTGAACTACTTTATACTTGGTGATTAGATATAATATCAAAAAATTAATGAGTATTATATAAATAAAACATCACTATGTGTATTACAAATAATAAGTGCTTTATAGTTTTAGTCGACTAAGCCGACTAGGCTTATTTAAATTTATTAATCGAACACTAAGCATTTCATTGTTCTTCTCTTAAATAGGAAAAAGCGGCGCTGCATTCTTTTCATAAGTAATAGTTCAATAATCGTACGAGAACGTTTTACGATGACAATAATAGTAATCAACCTGAATATCGAAATACAACCAGAACAATATCAATCAACACCCCACAATAATATGTTTACCGAAGAGATATTACTATAAGAATAATAATAGTTTTAAAATGAGATAATGTTTACTTGGTGATGTAAAGTTTAACTTTGATGTTATACCTGTTTAACCAGAAAATTCTTAAAGTTACTAAATTTTGGTAACATATAATAACAATTGATAATATAAGGAATATCATACATAAAATTATTTCCGAAGTCCGATGAAATTACCTTTTACATCATTTAAGTCTGTATAATAGGTTAATAGAATTTTTGTTTGATGTAATAATATAAAACACAAATTTCGATACAGATGTATTTATTTATTTTTTTTTAACAAAAAATAAACTTCTACTTTCATACTTTAAGCGAACAAGAAATGCCTAATCTATGCTCAGAATGCAATCAAGAACGGGATAGTCGGTGGTGCAAACCGTGCAACTCAACACATTTTAAAAATGATTTTGATAAATGGACAAGTGGAAATGATGCAATAGATAAATTTATTCAAGATACTCAACTAAACGCTGATTATGAAAAAGTAATAGAATTTATACCTTATGATAGATTTCAAAATATTAAACAAATAGCAAGAGGGGGTTTTAGTATTATTAGCTGTGCTAAGTTGATTGACGGATTTATTAATCATTGGGATAATAAAAATCAACAATGGAACCGAAAAGGTCAAATTGAAGTGGTATTAAAAAAGTCATATGGAGATATATATGTAACTGAACATTTTTTAAATGAGGTAAAGTAATATATACTTAAGGAAGTTAATATGAAAATAAATATTAATTATAATTCAAAAAATATGTTACTTAGATGGCAATTCTCTTGAGAATAAATGATGAAATATCATCAACAAAACTTTATGGAATTACAAAAGATCCAGAAACTCACAAATATGCTTTAGTTTTAGATTATTTTGACGGTGGAAATCTTGGAGATTATTTAAGAAATAATTTTTATGATATCAGCTGGAAAAGTAAATTATACTATTTATCTGATTTAGCTAATGATTTTACAAGAATACATAAGTTAGATATAGTTCATCGTGATTTTCATCCCAGAAATATTTTAAAACATGAGTCTGATTTATGCATTTCAGATTTTGGTTCGAGCAAATTAATTACAGAAAACATTAAAAATTCTGAAAATAAAGTAGTTTTTGGTGTATTGCCCTATATAGCTCCTGAAGTATTAGCTGGGGAAGAATATACAAAGGCTGCTGATGTTTATTCATTTGCATTTGTTGCTTATGAAATAATTACTGGAATTTTTCCATATCCTGATATACCACATGATAGAGATTTGGCTATACAAATATGTAATGGATTTCGACCAAACATTCCATTTCATATTCCAAAATTGATTACACAGATAATTATGCGATGTTGGGATTCTCGAATCTCACATCGGCCCACTTTTAAAGAATTATATGGAGTGTTGAGTATATACCTTTGGGACTATGTAGAAAATAATTTTTACAATAATAATGAAATTACAATTCAAGTTAGAGAAGCTGAAGAATTTTCCAAAAATCAAACAACTTTTACAACGAATACAACTTCAACAAATTATACAACACATCCACAAGCAATCTATACCAGTCGACTTCTTAATTATAATTATAGTTTTCCAAAACCTAAGAATGATGAAAATTTTGAAAAAGAACTTGAATGTGCATTTAGTAAGTATTATTATACAGTATTTAGATTTATTTATATATTATATAATTTTTATAATTAACTATATTATTAATTAATTTCTATCTTATTTAATTCTTCTAATTTAGATTCAGATTCAGGAATTATTGATTTGGAATTTTAAATTTTATTTGACATAAGATTTTATAATATCGAAAATCTAATAAATATAAATAAATAAACACTAGGCATAAAGTAAAAATTATTATAAGAATTCAAATAATTTAGTTTGTAATTAAATAAAATATCACAAATTTTTTATGTATTAAAAATAATGAGTGTGTTTAATAAAATGTAGAAAAATATAGTTTTTGTCAAATAAGTTTTTTTAATTTATTTAATTATTATCAGCATGGTCTCAACATTTTCTCTTAAACAGGAGAAAGCTGCATTCTCTTCCAAAAAGTGAATAAGGAATAATTCGATTCATATAAAATATTGGTGTTATCATTTATCTGTTATACAGTAGTAAAGTTCTTAGGCATAACAAGAGGTCTAAGTTTGGGTGCTTTATGTTTATGATATTAATTGAACTATAAAATAATTGGTATCTAAGATAATTCAACTTAAAATGAAATTCCACACAAATAAACTTTCAATTTTAATTTTAATAAAAAAATATTATGGATGACCGAGAGTCGAATAAAATTTAATGATAAATTGCCCTGATATTTGTGTATTTGTGCAAATTATTTATGTAAAGAAAGCTTACCAAATTATTGTATATTTTTCATATGTGCTGTGTCCACTAATTTAAGTGATATACGAGAAAATATATTGTTCCGCATGATATTATATAATAAAAGATGATGAAATAGGTAAACGAAAATAACGAAAAATTATTGTTTATCAAAAAATATCAAGATTTTTCTAAATAAATTTTCAAGAGTTCCAAACTTCTACTCAAATTTATATTTTATTAGATAACTTATATCATAATTTTTATAATAATTAAAAATACATTATTTTATTATCATAATGTATTTGTACTCTATCCCTATGTATTTACTCTATAATTATAATATAAAGCCAATATTATTAATTAACGCACTATTAAATAATGAATCTTATGTAGGAAACTCATCTCTTAACCAGAGTTATTTGAGGCTCTTCCGTTTGCATAACTGGTTTCTTTCATTTAGGACAGGCATATATGGCGTTAAGTAAATATAATAATTGGGATAATATTGAAAAGGATGCATTTTCCGTAAATGAATCCATAATAAAATAATATGTAAGATTAGAAACGAAAGCATCTGAACTACTTCCTATTTTCTTGACCACTAAATTTCCAAATCAATACTATTTTATTTAAACATTATATTAAAGTTCATCTCAATTATAACCATCAATATAGATATAATCATCTTAATACGTAACTACGGTACGAATACGCTGCATCAAAGATTTTTATTAATTCGTAATCCGCGCAAAAAATATTGTACAATTTAAAAATCTAGCATACAATGGATAAAGAACTGACAATTCATTTTCGTAAACTTTCATAAGAAGAGCGAGATTTTGGCACATATTATTCAGACAATTTTGTGAAATTTATTAATTTTTATTTGGTTTTGTTAAGTTTTATTTGAAATACAATTTTTTTATTAGTTAAAAGCCATTAATTTATTGCATATAGGCTGTAATGAAAGTTCTGGGATAAGGTTACAGTCTGAGCGTAGTTGTATTTTTGTTTTTAAGGGGCATGAAAACGAGTTTCGAAAAATTCTCTATATTATTATTGCTATTAATTTGATCATGTGTTCTGGGCACATATAGTTTTAAAACCTGTGTTTTGTGGAACAATTTTCTATTAATAGTTGTTATCCTGATTATGCAAATGTGCTTTATCACTAAATCTTTTATTACTCAGACTTTATTTAGAATTGTCGACGGGTGATCGTACGTTCGTGTAAAACTAACGATCCGACCTTATTTTAATTTTCACACACTTCCTAAACTTAATCGATTTACTAAAAGTTTTTACAATATTTATTATACGTTATAAATAATCCTTATATTACAAAGATTTATGTTATCAATGATATAAAGTATTACAAATATATAATGTGATATTCATTTTTAACATGGAAATATATGTAGGATTAAGATATTGTAGTTTTTGCTGGCAAAAAACTGTAAAGTACTCTCATTGTAATTATTGTAATAAGTGGGATTATGGAAAATGTCATGAATGCGGAGAACAAAACATTAAATCTGAGTGGTGTCCAAACTGCAAGTTACAAGAAATAATCCATGAATTTTCATCATGGACATGTGGAATCGGTGAAATTGACCAGTTAATTCACGAAAGCCAATTAAAACAAAGTAATAATTATTGGAGATGGATTGATTATACTGAATTAGATGATATTCAATATCTATCAGAGGGTGGATATGGTATTGTATATAAAGCTGTATGGAATAATATGCCAGAAGAAATTAAAAAAAATTATTTAAATAAATCAAAGATAATAGCAATGAAGAAATTAAAAAATTCTCAAAAAGTCACTAAAGATTTCATTAATGAGGTAAATATTTACTTGTACAATTTATTGTATTTTTAATATTTTGATAATTAACTATCTTAAATTTTAATACAGATCAAAGCGTACCATAAAAATAAATATTCTTATATTATACCTATATATGGTATAACTCGAGATCCAATTACAAAAGAATATGTTATAGTTATGCAATATTGTGATAAAGGAGATTGGAAACACATCATAAGACAACAAAATAAATCATTAAGTTGGAGAGATCGATTACATATGTTATTTAATATAACAAAAGCACTTAAGGATATCCATGAAAATGGATATGTTCATTGTGACATCCATCCTGGTAATGTTCTGCAAAATGAATATACCACATATTTAAGTGATCTTGGATTATGTACACCAGTAAATCATGAAACAAAACCAAATGAGATTCATGGAATAATTCCATATATGGCACCTGAAGTATTACGTAGAAAACCATTTACACCTGCATCAGATGTTTATAGTCTTGGAATGTTTATGTGGGAATTAACATCTAGAAGGGCACCATTTGATTATCGTTCACATGATGCATTTTTAATTATAGATATTTGTAAAGATATTCGTCCAGGGATCGTGAAGGGTACTCCAGAGATTTATGCAAATTTAATGAAATCATGTTGGCAAGATGATCCTTCTAAAAGACCAACATGTAAAGAAATATATGACATTATTTTGAGATGGGATATTTTTAATAAAAATTCAGAAATCTATAAGATTTTGAAAAAGGCTGGTGGAATAGGGAGTGATGTGGGCTGTAGTCCAGGAGGAAGTGATGAGAGGTTAGAAATGTTAACACGACATTCTGAAGCATATGATATTAGTCGATCATTAAATGAACATATCAATACTGCAACATTACTTTCAAGAGATATTAGAGAAGATGATTTAGCTATTGAATGGCCAGGTAAAAATATTGATTTTTTTTAATCGAGCTATAAAACTGATAGTAAATTAATTCTAATAATAATCTTTAAATTAATTTATAGATTCTTGTTCAATAACAATTAATGCAATCAGCGAAGAATTAGAAATAAATAACTCTAATTTACGGTGAAGGACATATTCAAGCGGAATTTCAATCGTTAGTTTGTCACTTGAAAGCATGTTTTTATATTTACATATTTATCAATAATTTATTGATCGTTGAGTTTATATAACAAATCATATTATTAATAGATTTATTCTAATATTTATCGTATCATTTTTTTGGAAATATTGTCTGTCGTTAATTAATAAATAATTTATATAATTTTTAAAAATTTGTATAATAAAAAATATCTTATAAATTTTATAAATTTTTGACAATTCTTTTTGGATATCGTGATATCCTCAAAAAAAAGGCATTCAGAAAGAATTAATATGCTATTTTTTTTTTATTCTGAAGAAAATCTTTTAATTAATAATGGAAAACATTTATTATAACGATTATCTTCAACACAGAATTCGCGACAGAAATTGTTTTTTCAGAAAGCATCTTTAAACTTTAAGTTTATTATTTAGTTTACATTGTAAGGTTATATATCATTGAATGACTATTTTGGATATTCGTGCGATGCTGATCCTGAGTTGTATAAAATTTAAAAAATAACCAAAAATGGAACCAAAAGGTTTTAAACTTGATAAAATAACAATTTTGGTTTACACACAAAACTAAAAATATATTACTAAAAAACATATTTTGTACAATAAGGCACATTAGTTTCATCTCGTATAAAAAATAGATAAAAAGATCTCATCCTGAGTCTCATCTTCTATACAGTAAAGCTTAAATTAGTCACAATGCACTAATAAACAGGAGGAAGATTTTTGAACAAAAAATGATATATTGTGGTGACGTGGCACGAAATAAAATAAAACAAAATAAAATGTTACGCCAATCAGTCTACCTGATTCAAAATTGCCGTTACTCAAAGATCTCACATTTATCTCTTTCTACAACACATTATCTGTCAGCAGGATTGGCCTCTGGCACAGATAACAGCTCAAACAATTACAATAATAGTGTGATCTGAGAGGTACGATGAGTAAGAGGAGTAGAAGTATCTCCACCAATTACTCGAACACTTTTAAATTAGAGTAGGCTTACTGATGTAAATTTTATTTAAGCGAGGTAAGTGAGTTTATTATTTAAGTAGATGAATTTTATTATAGAGACTTAATAGTAGAAATATTGCAAGATGTTGTGTCTATGACTACCACTAATCTTCAATACTAATATTATGAAAATTATTACTATTATTAATGTTATAAGCAGATATTATGATAAAATTATTATTATGTAGAAAAATGCTATGATATTAAAAGGAAAAATTCTTCGTTTTTCACTCCTTTTTTGGTCTTCTCTGCGGCCGCGCGATCACTACTTCTTTATATATCTTTCTTTTATTTATCTTTACCCTCAGTTGCCACCCATAACACATTTTCTTTTGGAGGTGTTGCACAAGGGAGAATAAATAGCCACCTCTGTACTTCACCCAAATAGTAGTAAACGCCCTATCTTAGTACTACTGCCACCTCTGCTCACCACCCTCAATGGCCGCAGACATTTTCGTGCCACCACAATATAATCATGTATTTTACGTATTTTGTATCAATTCGTATTTGTGAAAAAATGATTCCTCAATTTTATGACAGTCTTTCAAACGACCTTACCCAACTTTTTGAATGTGGTGTTAATTATGATATCTCAATTAAAGTTGGAGAAGCTCCTTTAACCGATATTTATAAAGTTCACTCGATTATTTTGTAATCCCGCAGTCCTTAATTTAAAAAGGAATTTAACGAAATTACTTTCAATTACGATAATGTCAAAATATTAAAATTTCCGAATATTTCTGTTAAAGTATTTGATATTATTATTAAGTTTTAAATAGTTAAATGTTATTTTTTAGAATGTTTTAATGATAAATTTATTTAAAAATTATTTTAACTATACTTTAAATAATAATAATTTTCATGTATCATATAGGTATATAGTGGAAAAATTTCATTGCTAAAATTGGAAAATTAAATTATTTTTAACCTCTTGCTTGCTTCTAATGAATTTGAACTGAATAAATTAGTTGAATATCTCCAAATTCATCTTGTCAGCAACTGCGCTTCATGGTTAATATTAAACTTTACTCGAGTTTATCAAACAAGTTATCTAGTCAAAAACTTTTTATTCGAAATTTTTTGTGACGATATTGTTGCCAAGTATCTTAATATCATTTTTGAATCTGACCATTTTCATTCTCTCCCTGAAGGTGCATTAATATCCATTCTCAAAAGAGACGACTTGCAATTAGAAGAAAATAAAATTTGGGAATACATAATTGAATGGGGAAAAGCAAAAAATCCCAATTTACCTACTAATCTCAATAAATGGACAAGTAATAATTTCTTAACCTTAAAGAATTCTTTGAAAGAGTGTCTCCCACACATTAGATATTTTAGTTTTTTCCCATGAAGATATATTCAAAAAAATTTTTCCATATCAACAACTTCTCGAACCTAAACTGTGGTTAGATATAAATAGTAAAATCTTGGTACCTAATCAACCAATCTCTTCAACAATATTACCACCTCGTGGGATTTTAAAGATGACACTTCAAACTAGAAATATCTCAATTCCATCGCCTTCTAATATTATCACCAATGAACAAGCACTCGAAATTTCATCATGGATTAATAAAAATCAAACACCATTTATTGAAAATAATCTATATGAATTTAAATTACTTGTTAGAGGATCTAGAGATGGATTTGATGTTAAAACTATTCTTAATATATGTGATAAAGTAGCTAATACGATTATCATTTTAAAAGTTCAAGGTACTGGAGAAATTCTAGGAGGGTATAACCCTCTCATGTGGGATAATATTAATGATCAATATAAAATTACACAAGATAGTTTCGTCTTTTCATTAAAAACTACAAATCTGAAAAATTCTATTTTAAGTAGGATGGTGGGAAATTTTGATTATGCCATTCATAATTATCCAAGGGATTCACAATTGTCTTTTAGCAATGCTTTACGTTTAAGAGGTAATCTGAAAACTGAAAAACGATGTTATTGTAAAGCCAATTTATCGTATCAGAAACCAATTCGCTCTAATGAATTTATATTACCTTTTCGTACTTTACTTTTTGATAAATATTTCTCTTCAGTTGAAGAATATGAGTTTTTTAAAATTTCCATGAAAATTTGGTAGATTAACACAGCATTGATTTTACTAAACATTATTTATTTATTTTTTTTTATTTTTATATTATTTATTAACGGTTTTATTTGTATGAATTTCAAATAAAGAATTCTTTATTTTTGTTTAGTTTTCAAATTTATTATTATTTAATTATTAACTTTTCGTATTACATTTATATTCAGATTATTTATTTTAATACTTTTTTTCGGAAACAAAGGAAATGATTTTTTATGTTTTGAAATTTTTGGTTTTTTTGAAACTGTAATAAAATATCTTAGAAGCAATTCATTTGATGAATTTATAGCCCAAAAGTGTTTAAAGAAACATTATTTTCAGTTAAATCTTCGAAATTTTATCAAGAAATGATTTAAAGTAAAAATTAAATGTATTTTTAATATAATAATACATAAAAGCCAAAGTTTGATACGCAAATTTCAACTTATTTTTCTTTTTATCACGAATATTACTATTTAACAGTTAAAGTTAAAAATTTAATTAATTATTTATCTCGGATAATTTTTATAATTTTCAATTAAAATTTAAAGATATTTTCAGTTATTATCGATTAGAAGTATTACTGTATTTGTTGTCTTTACCATAGGCATCATTTTATCCAATTTATCATAATTATAATTCATGATATCAAGTTTTTTCAAGTTTCTTAGCAATTTATAAAATGTTAATAAATTCTAACTTGTTCAATTTTTGTCATTTCTTATTTCATTTAATAAACTTGATAGAGTATTGTATTCCAAATGCTTCAAAATAAAAAAATCAACATGCAAATTCACGAGTAAAAAATAAATAAATATAAATAATTAAAATAATAAAATTAGAAATATTAAAAGATAAATGTGAAAAATACAAAAATATATATATGTATATATATTAAATCAATTAAACATCAATCGCTTTTGAGACAGCAACAACTTGCGACATAAAATCCATAAAATCATTAAAACTAATCTCCCATGCCTCAGAAATTTCATTCTGAATTGATAAAAAAAGAAGCGCCTTATATTCAAATGAAATGATCTATTAAATGAATGTTTGAGGAAATAGACGCAGATTTAATATAATACAATTCATAAAATTTATAGTATCAAACACAATCATTATTTTAAAAATGGAAAGTACTGGAGAATTTAAAGAGGTCTAATTCTTGAACCAGAGTATAGTAATTATCAATTGAAAAGAAAAAAATAATTTATACCTTTACTGAAAAAATTATATAAAAAATTGGCTATCGGTTGTAAAAAAATAATTATTTAAAGTTAATAATGATTAAAATATCTAATGTTATTTCTAAAATGATATTAAATTATTAATTGAACTGATTAAAGTTCAGAATGAACTTAATTTCAATAGATTATACATATCAAAGAATATTAAACAAAAAACAGAATACTTTATTTGAAAAATTTTTTAAAAAATAAATAATATTTATTATTGCATAATTTTGTATAAATTAAATAAAATGAATTCATGTTATTCCCTTATTATAGGTGAAATTTTAAAAACCTCATATTCTTCGACTGAAAATAATTCTTTTTTAGATGGTATAATCGAAGCTGTAAATTCAGCAGGACGAATTAGTCTATCATACGATTGATTAAACTTGCAATAACATCTTTGCAGATCGCCTCTTAAACATAAACCAACGCTAAAACCCAAAGCTGATTCCTTTGGATAATTATAAATGGCTTTATCAGAATTTCTAATCACTCTACTGAAAATAGAATAATTCCGATTTGCATTTTCTAATGAAAATATAAAACTATTTTGTGTACTTTTTGTTTTATTTTTATTATTATCCCAATAAAGGGGATTATACCCTCCCAGAATTTCCTCAGTACCTTTAACCTTTAAAATAATAATCGTTTTAGATACTTTATCACAAATATTATAAATAGTTTTAACATCAAATCCATCTCTAGATCCTCGAACAAGTAATTTAAATTTATATCGATCACTAAGACCAATCCATGATGAAATTTTCAATGCCTGTTCATTAGTGATAATATTTGAAGGTAATATATTTCTAGGTGGAAGTATTTTATTTAAAATTATACGAGGTGGTAACTCAATTGTAGAAATAGGGCTTTCAGGTGATATCAGTCTTGCATTAATATCTGACCACAATTGAGTTTCAAGAAGTTGTTCGTATGGAATAAGTTTTTTGATTATATCTTCATGAGAAAAACTGAAATATCTAATGTATGGGAGACATTCTTTCAAAGCTTCCTTTAAGGTTAAGAAATTATCATTTGTCCATTCATCGAGATTAGCAGGTAAATTTGGATTTTTTGCTTTTCCCCATTCAATAATGTATTCCCAAATTTTACTTTCTTCTAATTGTAAGTCGTCTCTTTGGAGAATGGATATTAATGCTTCTTTAGGGAGAGAATGAAAATAGTCAGATTCAAAAATAGTATTAGGATGTTTGAAAATAATATTATTACAAAATTCCTTAACAATTTCGAGATTTTTGAATTGATGACTTGTTCGAAAAACTCGAACAAAGTTTAGTTTTAACCATGAAGCGCAGTTGTTGATAAGATGAATTTGGAGATGTTCAAATAATTCATCCAATTCTAGTTCACTAGAAGTAATCAAGAGGTCAAAAATGACCGAGGTTTCCAATTTTTCCAGTGAAATTTTTCCACTATTAATATATCTAAATAAAATATGAAAATTATTATTATATTATAATTATTATTATTGTTAAAAAAAGCATATTTGAACTTACTTAATAATAACTTCAAATACTTTGCTAGAAATATTAGGCGGCTTAAAAAATTTGACTTGATCGCCATTTTCGTCGAATACCTCTTGAAAATAAGAACTCCGGGATTTTAAAATAATCGAGTTAACTTTATAAATATCAGTTTCATGAGCTTTTTTACCAACTTCTATTGAGGCATCATAATTGATACCACTTTTAAGAAGTTGAGTAAGGTCGTTTGATGGACGATTATAGAATTGAGTAGACATTTTTATAAAAATTAAACGTGACAATTAGCTGTGATGTTAGAAAACTTTTTTTCCTAACTTGTCTAAAAATTATCAATCGTCTATACATTTATATTTTTTCAATGTGACACTAATTTATTAATAGTTCATACGCCGAATACATAAATGATAATTAGAGAATGTCCAAATATAGTATTTATGATCACGATGCCACTATGCTGTGCCGCATTGTGAATAAGATTATTGTGTTCTTTAAACCTAAAGTTATTTATGGAAAAAATTAACAAAGAAAAATAGGTAAAAATTATATTTGGAAAATATCCACATCATTTAGGTTTACTTATATATTAATAGCATTCTTTAACTTGAATAATCATCCCATCAATGATTATTTACGAAATTGAACAATTATTTCCGAAAAAAGTTCTAAAGGGTAGAGAATTGATTAAACAATTATATCTAATGTATTTGCACTTATTTATAATACGTGTGTAAGCAAAAAAGTGTAAATGTAAATATCACTATTATTACTACCCTTGTTGTAATGCGCAAAGCATAAACGCTGCTTTACTGTACATACATACTCAATTACTAAGCTAAACAAAAGGAGAGATAAATAAATCAATTTATTATAAAAAAAAATGATTTCTCATGGTCGAAACTTCGGTTGAATTTATAATATCTATCATGATAATTAATCACGATTTTATTTCTTTTTTTACTAAACTGCATAAAATAAAATAAATAAAATAAAATAAAATAAAAAAAATAAAATAAAATAAAAAAAATAAAATAAAATAAAAAAAAATAAAATAAAATCATAAATAACTTTGGAATTAATATAAGTTGCAATGAAACTACTTGATAACTTTGTTTGTAATATTTAATATTGGAGAAATCAAAAAAAAAAAAAAAAACCAACGTTATGTTATTTAATATAAATTATTCAATCACACCTTAACAAGCCTGAAAATATCTCATAGATAACTTTTTTTTTATATCAAGAAGTAAATACGATAAACAATTTTAGTATTCGTGTAAATTTTTTTTAAAAAAATTTTGAACTTGATTATAAATTTTATAAAAATTTTTAACTAAAAATATGCTACTATAAAAAAGACTCGCAAATAAAAAAATATATTGTAATATAAGTCGCCACAGTAAAATTTAAAATAAACAAGAAAAATATTTTTTTTTTTTTAAAAAAAAAAATAATACTTTTAGACGAATTATTGCTTTGTAAATTGTATCGAATTTTTTTTTAAACTTTATTTAATAAAAATTGAATTAATGCCAATAATAAATTACTTATTGTTAAGTTATAAATTATCTCTTGAATACAAATTAAATTAACCGAATTCATAAAAATATATTTATATAATAAAAAACGAAAATAATAAAACGAATTATATTAAGCATACTAGTATTTAAAAAATCATCAATATCATCCAAATAATAAAAAAAAATTACAAATGAATAAAATAAAACATATAATTGATACCTACTAGCAATTATATGAGAAAGAGTTAATTCTGTTAATTTTCTTCAAGTTCTTTTTCAAAATTTGGTCATTAACAGGTTTTGGAGGATTTGAAAAATCAAGTCTATTAGTATAAAATGCTTGTGCTTGTGTATGTGTTTTTTATAGTTAAGAAAAGTTGTATATATTTGATTTCCAGATAATTCTTATGCTTTAAGTTGAATTATAATTACATCAGTACTGTTCTAATAATCATGAATGAAATTTATTCAGCTCTTCATATAATTCTTTAAAATCGGTCAATGGCATCTCAAGATCGCATAAACATTTGTGTAATTAATTTAGAAATGTGAAATGGAATTTGGTATTTTTGCAATTACTTACTTCAGGCATTATCAAATATAGATGGTTCTAAACAAGAGTTTCAGGGTTGTAATATAATGGACCTTGGATGGATTATTCCAACTTCAGATATTATTACAAATAATATTTTGTTTAGATGTACAACAGAATTGTTTCCCTCTTCAACAAAAGCAAAATTTTAGCAATAATTACAGCAATAACAGTTGCACCAAAGGGATGTAAAGTTGAGGTATTTTCGTATAGTCAGAGAGCAATTAATGTTTTTAATGGAATCCTGAAAAATTTGTTAGGGAATAAAGAGAAAACATATGACTATGATATAATACTGTCTGCAGAGCTCAACAAATAATTAATGAACTGAAAATTTGTCTTAATAAGGTAGAAGCACATGCAGGTATTGAATATAATGAGAAAGCAGATCATTTAGCTCAGGTATCATTTCAAGATCCAAGAATTAGTATCAATAGACATTCACTGAATCACGTAAAAATAATTCCTACATGGAATAATTTGACTCCAGATTTTTCAATTAAAACAATGACCAGAAGACACAGTAGTGAAATATGGATTCAAAAATGGTTAAAACAAACCAGAACTAGATGGTGGATTCATACAAATAAAGCAAAAAAATAAACTGGGAATTAACATGGAAAACTGTTCACCAAAAAAAAAAAAATTTTTTTCACGTATTTCAAGTTTTGAGGAAAAATTCTCACTCAAATTAATTAATAATGAACCTACACTAGACAGTCTTCACAAAAGAAATCCATCACTATATACTACAAATACATGTCCATTTTGTCAAATAGAAATTAAATAATATAAATGTTTTTACATGTTTAACTCAATCAGCAAAGTATAATCGAATTTGACTCAAATGTTTTTCTGGATATAATTGCAAGAATGATTCCTAACACTCTTGTGTCATTTTTCAGAGATAGCAAGAAACTACAAAGATAGTAAGTCAGTTATATTTAAAAGTATGATCAAAGTTCAAACTTCATTTATTTCTTATATGATTTCTTATATGGAAATATCACTGTGAAAAATCTTGATATGGGAAAAAAGCCAAATATTAGTTCCAAGGATAAAAAATTGGAATGGAAAAAACCTATGACTTCACCGATAATAGCATAATTAACACAATCACTGGACAGTATAAGGGTATATGATGACATAGTATTAAATGAACAGCATCAATTAGATACATTACAATATATTAATTATGAATTTCTGTATAATTTCTTATATTATTAAAATTATTATTTAAACAATTTCTCAGGCTTCCACATTCTAGATATTGTTAAATCATCAACATATATTTTGAGTTTTTGGATCTTTTGTAATTTCATAAAATGGAATTGATGAATTTGTTTTCATCTAATTTAGAATATGACTTTACCTCATTTAAGAAGTCTTCATTTATATCTCCAATTTCATCAACTTCACATTGAACATATTTTTTCATCGTCGATTTTTAATATCTGAATAAACTATCCACCAATCTACTTAGCATAAAACCACACTTTATTATTCTTTAATCCTTTCAAAACTTTCATAAGGTATTCATTCTATTACATTTCATTCCATTTAACATTAAGCATTTAGCTGAGCATCTTGCATAAATTTATCAATTTTATCATTTCCATTCGTCATTTTATCAAAATTATTTTTGAAGCACGTTGAAAAGCAATCTCCCGTCAGTATGTTCTTGATTGCATTTTGGACATATAAAAGATATCTTTTTTTTGAAAAAATAAATTGTAAAAAAGGTGCTTGAAATATGGTTTGTTATTTTTCCTAATAATATGATAATATTTATTGAGTGAAATGATATGCACTTATCAAAGTCAGTAGCATTTTTTTTTCGAAGAGAGAGTTGTAAAAACTTATAGTTTAATAACAGTCTTTTGTTACTTTTACGAAAACGAGTTTTTTTTTTAAAACTCACAAAGTTCTTTATTTACAACATGGAATTCGATGCTGCTTTTTATGATAAAGTTAATTTTTGTTATTCGCGTGATTATGAAATCATATCCTTTTATACTTTACAGACGAAATCTTTTACACAGAACATCAATTTATTTAAAAATATATAAAAAGCCCTAAATTCACATCTGTGATGCTAATGTGAATCTACCGGATAGAAATCAAATAAATTTTTTTAGTGAAACGATAATTCAATAAATTACAATAATATTCTTGAAGTGGTTTGGGTGGTAGATGTGATGTTTTGATATTTATTTCAAAATTATATAAATGTCACTATTTTCTGATGTGGGCTCTATTCTTCTAAATCGTAAGTTCTTGGCTGTGCACTGATTGCGTACAGTTTTTTTCCGTTTCGAATTACACAGGGACCGAAAGCCGTGACTCCAATGTGACGTCGCCGGAACAATAATACAAATTTATCGAACAAGTTATCAAGTCAAAAAACTTTAAAATTATTCGAAACTTTTGTAACAAATTTATAGTCAACTTCAACTAACCTAATACTATCTTTGATATTCTTCTCTCTGAAGATGCATTAATTTCTATTATTAAACTGGATAACTTGCAATTAGATATTAAAACTTGGGAATATATAGTTTGCATTTATTACATTTTATTGATATTACATATTAATGAATGTATTATTATTTTTGATAAAAAAGAACACATACATAAATAACACTTTATTTTCAATTAAGTGTATTGTTTGACCTTTGCATAATTTATAAACCGCATTAACACAAATAATAATAACTACAAATATTTAGATTTTTGAAAAATAAAACAATAATGATTTATTTTAAATGATTACATACTGGTCTGTTTTAATTTAAATAAAAGCTATACTCTATAATTCCAGTGATCAAAATATGATAAAATAATAAATATAATAATAAATAAATGAATAATAAATAAAAATAAAATAATTCTACAGCAATTATAATAATAGCAAAATCAAATAATATATAGTTTATTTAAAATTGTATTCCATTTCTTAAATTTCATTTTCTTCATCTTTTTCGGCATAAAAATTAAAATATAGTTAATAACTTTTTTAAATTAAATATATCAAACAAAATAATTAAAGAAATAATTTACCAAGTATATTGTCAGGGATTGAAAAAAATTGCTGTCTTGAATCTAAATATATAGTTGATATAAAATTCTTTTTTTAGAAAAAAAAAGCAAATGAAATTTATTTACTAAAAATATACTTACTATATGTATCATATTTATCATTTTCAGGCTTTGTAAGTTTAGATATAAGTCTACTTGTATATATTGCTTCAGGATACATTTCATTTGGATCACATTTAATAAAATTCTTGTTTGATTTATTTGCTGCTTTAACTTGTTTATTTAATTGTTTTCTTATTTCCTCACTTATTTCACCATCATATTTATTAAGTTGAGATTCCAATTCTTCGGCAGTTGGACGATTGAGAATTCAAAATTACCGCATTTTTCCATTATTTCTTTGAGAAATTGAGGAACTTCATACTTAATTTCAGGTCTAAGCCCTTCACAAATGCCCATTGAAAGTTTTTCATTATGTAGAATATTATGATATGGTGGATAACTAGTTAGAACTTCGTACATAACAATTCCAAAAGAAAAAATGTCAGACGCTTGACAGTATTCTCCTTTACTCGACGTCTCAGGGGCCATGTATGGAATTGCACCATAAATATTTATAGGATCATTTTCTGTAACTGGCTCGCACAGCCCAAAATCTGTAATATGACTTGTAGTTAAAGTTTGATTAACTATACTACCAGAATGAAAATCTTTATGCATTAAACCTATTTTATGGATATTTTTAAGTCCAATTACAATATTTAATAAAATATTGTGTTTCTTCCTCCAAGTTAATTCTTCAAATTTGCTATTTAACAGTTTTCGAAGACTACCATAAAATGCATACTTCATAACCATCATATATTCGTTTCTAGTTGGATTTTTAGTGATACCATATATTGCAACTGCATTTTTACCTCAAAATTTAAATTGATTTCCAATCTGAAATATTTATAGGCATAGCATTAAATATAGTTATTATATATTTAAATGATGAAATTTAAATGATGTCTAATACTTACCTCTTGCAAAAATTCATTTTCATTTCTGGAATAATCAAGACTTTTTAAGCAAACATCTTGTTTTCCAGATCTAAACCAATTTTCTATACTATAATTCCAAGAATCAATAGGTCCATCAAGCCATTCTGCTTTATATGCTGGCCAAACCCCCTTTAGCAAGGTATATGACATTCTCAAGTCTGTCAAATGGAATCCACTCAATAATTTTATGATATTTCTTTGCCTTAAGTTGTATTTGTTGGATAAATTTGTCAATTTCTTTATCCTCACTTGTCCATTTATCAAATTCATCTTGAAATCGTTTGAAATTACATAGATGGCACCAATTGATTCTAGTATTAGCTTTATGACATTCACTACACTCTCTAAAAAATATTATTGATAATTAATTAAAGATTTGTTATATGATATTGAATTAAATTGAAACATTGACTTTAAATAATCACTCCCTATTTATATTGATTAGTTTATAATTGATTAGAGAATTGTTACATGATATTGAATTAAATTGAAACATTGATTTAAATAATTATGAATCTAAATACCCACTCACTGTAATATAATTTATATTGATTAGTTTATAATTGATTAGAGAATTGTTATATGATATTGAATTAAATTGA